TCTTAGGTGTAAGTCGAATCCGTCAGGGAGCATCAGTTCTCTTAAGATTACAGGTAACCTTGCTGACGAGTGCCAAGTAACACGGAACTTAGTTCAGGGTTTCCTGTGACTAACAGCAACCATCTTATCGAAACATTTTTTGGGTTACAAGAAATTTATCTGATGAAGAATTTCTTGAAATATTATGAATCTATCAAAAACGATTCTTGTAGACCGTTCATGTAAAGATAATCCATATCACAGATTAATTATGTCATTTTAGCTCAATTTTAAATAATCTTATAATAATTCCCAATGTTGAAGATAGAATTCCTCGAGTATTTATCTATTTCTTGATATCAGGTGAATATCATCGAATGCAATGGATGATGAATATGCTAACTAGTGAGTTGATTGAACTTGGAAATATTAACAAATGTATGTCAGTACAATCATATAGGTTTGATCAACTCATTCCAAACACATGAAATCTTTAAATTTTTTTTCGAAGTAACTATTTTTCAAAGTCAATTTCGTGATCGAAACTATCTGTCTACCCACTTTTGATGCTGAGGATAACTTGGCTAATCTAGATTATGACCATGACGCGATAGGCTAACCGGCTTAACCTTGAGGTTATTACACGTAAGTTCGAAGTGGGGTAGAGAGAAGAAAACTATTCTATCACCTGATTGGCTGACAAGCACACGAGTGAGAGAAGACAAGTCTACTGCAACACTACTCCATTTATTCCCAATTCCGATCTGGTTCCCGATTTCCCGATTTCAGATCAATGTAAAAAGATACATAAATAAATAGATGATGACTAACCTGATCACAATGTACAATAATTAGGAAAATACAATTACGTACAAAATAATAAGTTTAAATTACAACAGCTTTGGAATACTAAGATAGTTTATTCTTAAATTTGACTTAGCAACATCACTAAATCTTGGTAGTACCTTACAGTTTGTTTATAAACATAGGAAAACAATAAATGCTGCCGATTAGTTAGTTAGGGATTAACAAACATGAATGTTAATTGGTAAATTCTAATAAAAAACTCTACTATCTGTATATTTGCAAAATGTCACTAATACAAACAAATATATATCAGAAGAGGTTTTGTGGAGATTGTAATAATTTCAACAGTTGAGATCATGAATCACTTGAATCTAGACCACCATGGAAAACCTCGAGAGGTTCGAACCCAACTGTTTTTAAGAGAAATAAACTAGCTTTCAGAATCTTTCTATGTTCATAATCAGTCATTAAGACAAAATAGCTGTCCAGTGCTTCCAGGTTTTCCATGATAATCTAGCTTCAATTGACTCATGATCCGGACTAATAATTGTAATATCCGCAAACCCCTTTCTATTACTAATCAACATATGCTCACTAGTGACTGGCTTCAAGATGTATATCCTGGAGTTCTAGTGAGAAGCAGTGATCAGTGCACTCCAACCGGGTCTGTTGTGAGATTGTAACTCACTGAAGACAATTGTGGATGTGTCGCACAATTTCGTGGATTAGTTGAAGTTGTACATTAAAACCATTGCATCCCGGCTCAGTGGTCTAGAGGTTAGGCGTCCGCGCGTGAGACCCATAGGTCATGTTTCCGAATGCGCGAGGCGAGATCATGGATGCACACTACTGAGGGGTCCTATACTAGGACGAAATGGTTGTCCAGTGCTTCCAGGTTTTCCATGGTGGTCTAGCTTCAATTGACTCATGATCTCAACTATTAAAATTATTTTTTTTGTGTGACTTATTTACCAATAATAAACTGGTGAATGTATAAGTTAATAAAATATGTAGGAATTTGGTCACCATTTTGGTTAAGCTATCAATGTATGTTTATATATATTTCAATAGCAATCAGTAACGTTCAAACTGGAGTCAGATATAGAGCCAATAATGATACACATATTCATCTTTCATCACCCTCATATATATAAGTATGTCAATATCTGTCATAACATTGATTTTTAAATCTGATAAGTTATAAGCAGCTATTGATAACCTAACGGAATAAGATGAATTCATATTATTCTGTATTATCAGAAACAACCAACTGTGTGAGAGAATAAATCAGATTCCAGTGGAGGAATAAATCAGGAAGAAGCGCTGGAAGTGGATAGGAAATCACCCAACTGCGTCACAAGAGAAGCTCTCACATGGAATCCTCAAGGCCAAAGGAGAAGTGGAAGACGAAAGAACATATTACTCCGAGAAATGAAGACAAATATGCGAACAGTGAACAACAACTAGATAGAACTAGAAAAGAAGGACCAGGATAGAGTGGATTGGAGAATGTTAGTTGGCGGCTTATGCTCCATTGGGAGTAACAGGCGTATGTAAGTAAGTAAGTAACAATATACAATACATATGGTATGTATTAATGAAAGTATATCTAAATGAATATTGAAATTATGTTACTGATTATTTGATTTAAGTAACATTATAACTCTGTAGTCTACTTTAAGTTCTCAAGTCAACAGTTTACTATTTTAAGTATATATAATTCTCTGTATTATAAAATCTTATGTCAGTTAGTTAGTTAGTAACTAAGAATCTTTAGACAATGTAGTTTTCCACATTAGTTCTAGATTAGAAGATGCAAATGTTAGTATATATTGATTCATGAATACATTATTAATAGAGATAATCAAATTCATAAGTGAACAAATATTAAAGAAGTTAATTAGATTTGAAATTCCTGAAATGATACATTCATCACAAACGGTTAGAATGTAACTAATGCTCGCCCCCCCCTTCCAGTCAAACAAGTTGGTGAAGTTTAGTAGGCCCTTCTGAATAGAAACAGGCCACATCGAAGCACGGCACAACTACCGGGGCTAGAATAGTTGTTTTTGTAATCGATTGAAGTTTACCCTGTAGGGAGCAAACCCGCTCCGCTCTGCTAACGCGCTCGTTTAAAAAAGGGCTGTGATTTTTGTACTTGTTGTGATTATCCTTACTTTGGGTACTTCTGCACCCAAAAGCATTCTTGGTCTACTTTAACTAAAATTACTTTGGTTAAAGTTTGTAATTTTTTGCTCAACTTTGTCCTGTGGTACCTTTTTTACTCCTTGACTGACATTAGTGTTCACATTGGGATCATTTTGTGTTTTAAACCTTTTTAATCAAAATTAAAATGGTTGGTAGGACTCATAAATGTGGACAACCAAACTGCTTGTTCCCCGTTGAGGAAGGGATGCAGTGCGATGATTGTAAAAAGTGGTACCATAAGATGTGTACACACCTAAGTCCTATGGCATACAAAAGATGCTCGAAGCCTAACTCACATAGGCTTTGTATGTTCTGCTGTACAAATAAAAAGTTACTAATTCAGGAGGCTATGAGGCTATTGGCTTTGGCCTACAAGAAAAACGATGGCGGTAGCGCTGGTAACACGAGCACTGACGGTGAAGAATATGTCAATGTAGTAAGTGCTGCTACCGGACCCGCTAAACACCCGAATGCGATTGACGGGAAAGTGAAATCTCCGTTAATATTAACGAGGAGTGAAGTGCCGCTAGATACTAACATCGGCAATCATACACCTCTGGTCGAAACTGAAGACCTGGATAAGACTGTCACCGTTCCAAATAGTCCCGGTGTGGCTGTCCTGAGTGGTGATAAATGGAATTTAGTACGGAAAAAAAAGAAATGAGAAGAAAAAAGTTGTAGGCAAAACACACACGAAATTGAGCGACACATCCACCATTTTCTTTAGTTAGTTATTATCTCACAACAGACTCGATTGAACTCCACTAGTCACTGCTTCTCACTAGAACTCCGGGATATATCTGTTGAATCCAGTCATCTAGATACTTATAAACTTAATTTAATAGTCAATGAAATAGGACATTTTCTTATTGACTATATTGTCGTTGATTTGTTCGATCATTTCTTTAACTTCTTATCTTCTTGTATTCAACTTATCTACCTTGTTATTGTTAATATAAGATTTTGTATTGAAAACTAAACTTCACTACAAATTTCAAAGTCACAGGTTACTTATACATGTGAATAAAAAAATTAACTTGATTATTAACATGATCTGCTTTAAAATTTACTCTGGTATCCCTCGAAAAAGAAAAAAGAAAAAAAGAAAAATCTGTCAACGATTCTAAAAATAAAATTTTTTGTGATGTAATTGTCATGGCAACAATTGAACGTTAATTTTTTTTGTTTTTCATAAATTAAAAAGAAATGACATTAAGTTTAATTTATATTTGATTTTTTTTATTATGAAGATGAATTTATTCCTTTAATTGATTTACGAAGATTTCTAATTGCTACACCTATGAATACAGCATAGATAAATGATGTAGTAAAACAAATTGATGTTAATAATGTTATATAATATTGTACGTATTCACTTAATTCATCAAAACACCCCTGATAGAGAATTAGAAAAAAGAAAAAAAAAACAAAATATAATCAATCATATGGAATTGATCAAAAAGGTAAATGATTATTGTGAATCGATAATCAAAATCATTGAACAAGAAATTTTATATTGATCTTAATGAAATATCTGGAAGAAATTGAAACGTTTCATAATAGTACAATCGATAAAAACAATTTTCAACTAATATTAAAACTTCACAGGTTGAAATCATGAGTCGATTAAAGGTAGACCACCCTGGAAGCACTGGACGGCCGTTTCGTCCTACTATGGGACTCCTCAGCAGTGCAACGTCGTGGGTTGGTTGAAGTTAGACATTAACACCGTTGGATGCCGGCTCAGTAGTCTAATGGTTAAGTGCTAGCGCGCGGAACCAGTAGGTCCTGGGTTCGAATCCCGCGGGGGCGGGTTCGTGGATGCGCACTGATGAGGAGTCGCATACTAGGGCGAAACGGCCGTCCAGTGCTTCCAGGTTTTTCATGGTGGTCTAGCTTCAATCGACTCATGATTTCAACCTGTGAAATCAACAATTTTACTGTATTTTGTTTATCACAATCCTAAATTCACATGCTTTAAACGATGTACTTTGCCCTTAACCTGGCCATTTTTCGGATTATTAATTTGGATATATAATTGTAGAACCTGAAGATAATTTATCGAAAAGAATATTCTCCGTTCAAATACTAGTCTTTCAATATGACGGGGATCTTTAAACGATTAATATTAAAGTCAGAATCTTTAATACGAATGTCAAGACAGTCAGTTCTACTGTATGGAGTTGAAACATGCAGAACTACTGCAACCACCATCAGGAAGGTACAAGTATTTATAAATAGTTGTCTACACAGCATACTCAACATCCATTGACCGGATATCATCAGTAACAACCTACTGTGGTAAAGAACAAACCAGCTTCCATCTGAAGAGGAAATTAGGAAAAGACGATGGAAATGGATAGGACATACATTGTGGAAATCATAAAAGTGCATCACGGAGCAAGCCCTAACTTGTAATGCCGAAGGAAAACAGAAAAGAGGAAGGCTGAAGAACACATTACGTCGGGAAATGGAATCAGATATGAAAAGGATGAATAACAACTGGAAGGAGCTGGAAAGTATTGCCCAGAACAGGGTAGGATGCAGAATGATTGTGAGTGGCTTGTACTCCTCGACGAGGAGTAACAGGCGTAAGGAAGTAAGTAAATAACACTCGATGAAAATCGATTATTTGAGTTTAATACGATATTTGATTTATTTTAATCGATTTCAGTTAACTGAAGTTTATAGAAGTTGAGTACTGGCGCTCAAAAAGCAAGATCTTAGGTTTAATACGTTGTGGTTGATTTGTGACTGTTCACTATTATAGGGTTCTATACTAGAACAAAATAGCTGTATGGTCCTATTCGGTTTTAATTGATGGTCTAGCTAAGATCATTCAATGATTTAACTTATGAAAAATATTAAATAATTAATGAATCACATCAAAGAGAGATGTGAAATCTAAATAAATAGAGAATAACATGAATTCAAGTTTATTCAAGCTTACAAGTGAAGAAGGTTGTACGAGATATGAAATTGTTTGAAATATTAGAAATTGATTCCAAATAGTCGATCAACTGAAAATGATTTATTCCAGTATTTTTCTCCATTGAAGATCTATTTTAACCTCATATTAGTTTAAGTAACATGCCAATGTTGACTCCAGAAGACGTTCATTTCTCTGCAGCAGATTTGTATTTATCGAATAAAAACAGCTGACAGTTATTTTGTATTATTTCTCGCATCGGCTTGCATCACTGGGTAAGTAATAGTGAGGTGTTAGGGAATAATGGTAAATCAGTTGATGGCGTTATGAATCTTCATCACCTGAGATGGTTGGGCCACGTGTTACATATGCCTGTACATTGATTGCCACGATGCGCAATGCTGACTAGTGTTGGAGACGGTTGGAAGAAAGTTAGGTGCGGCCAAACCAAAACGTGGCATCAGTGCTTGAAGTCACTAAATTCTGGTCTGAGCCATGTTGGTAGATACAGACTACTTGATTGGGGTCCGCGTGACTATTGTAACCAATAGTTAGAGACAGTGGGTGAAGTGGCTCAGAATCGACCACAATGACATAGGTTTGTACATTCTCTGTCTTTTCTTAAACTAAGAGATTAAAATTGCTTTATAACTTTCTTTCTACGTACTAAATCTTTCTTCCTGTACTACATCATTATACACAATCTTTCTTTAATGCATTACTACCATTGAAGTGACTGCCTCTATGAATTTGGTGTTCATCTTATTGTGCTAATTCGGTATGGCAACTTGGACCGATGCACATATGTGCCTGGTCTGACATTGTGACTGACTAACTAACTATTCCTCATTATATTAGTCACTATATGCAAATCAAATGGGAATACATATTCTTGTCGAGTATCAGAATAAAATATAATGAGTATCTATATCTCTATCTATCTACATTCGTCTTGATTACTATTAATCGCATAAATAAGATACATCAGTGATATTGTTGTATCTGAGTTTAGTCAACGTATCTTGTAGAACGTTATTAGCTAACACTGTATAGAATGAAGGATTGGTGAATAACAATAATAGCAAAATGTTTATTATATATAACAATTTCAATGAACTTGGTGGGAATTAGTGTCGAAAGTGTCCTTATACAGTTAAGTGAACAACTCGTACAATAAGCAAGGAATTATGTATAAGCATGATTGTGAATATAACCAGTTACAATCGCTTCTAATTGCTACCAGTGTTTAACGATAACAAAGTTTAGATATTGCATCTCAGTCTAGATTAAAAATCAATGTCTAAATATAATATCCTTTCTTAGATTTAGAATTTATTCAGATTTTTTCTTCACTTGGTGTTATTTACTTGTATCATACCATTGTTATTTAAGACTGCAATTGATCAATCTCTTGTTGGTATATGTGCATTCTGTGCGAATTGTCTCGATATAGCCTTAAGTCACAAGTTTTTTCAAGCAAACATGGATAGTGACTGATCAATTGCAGTCCTAAATGACAAGTAAAAAACACCAAGTGAATATAACTTCACCCCATTTCACAAGCAGATAGCTATCAGGACTCAGTAGCTAAGTGGATAACGTGATGGCATTTAAAGTAAATGATATTGAGTTCGAGTCCCAGAATGAACATCAACATCTGAGATGCAGGTTCACCCAGCTGACGTGTCTCAGATAGGAAAAAACGCGCGTTCTGGATTCCACTGCTAACCACTATCCATCTTTGCTTAGATGTTTTCATTTGTTACACACAACTCAAGTTCTCTTTCATATGAAGTAATGCGTTATTAGTTTATCATCAGCCGGAACTGTGTAACATATTACATAATGAAAAATCATTCACAATAAGAAGTGAAGAAAACTAATTCTTCGGTTGTTTTTTTTTCACTTAAAAGCTGATATTTAGCCTTCTTGCTTATCGACTTAACTACTTTAGTGTGAGTTGTTGGGATTTATATTCAAAGCTGAAGTAGACAGTTTGCATAGTTAATTTGTAATATATTTCACTTAACCTAATGAACAGACTACAACGTTTAGCACCATCTCGATTTTCATTTAAAGTAATTACAATATTGATGTATTCAATTTACGATCCTAATGATTTTTTTCAGTTGAGTTCATAATGTGATTCAATTGATTTGTTACTTGATGAGGGAAGTGATCAAAAGTACTTTCCTTTAAGTATTACACGAAATGTTGGTGTTTATTAAATGGTCCGACTAATGTATTTGCATAGATAAAAAGTTATGGTTCAACTATCTCAGTAGTCATCAATGAAATATGGTAAGTGATCATAACTATGAAAACTTCATATGATTTCCGGAATACAAATTAGATTCTCATGGAATGATGACTTCCAAATTATATCCACTAGAGCTCAATAAATGTGTCTAATTATCAGAATCCGAATGTATAGCGGCGTTTGACAGCTTGGAAGTCAGCTTCCCAAAGTGAATAAATTTATTCTAATTTAAATTTATTATTATACTACATTCTTAATCGGTGTCCAACAGGTGAAACATCCTGTAAATCTCACTAGTTTAGGTCATAAGTTAATTGAAGCTAGACAATCATGGAAAACATGGAGGCACTGGACGGCTGTTTCGTCCTATTATGGGACTCCTCAGCAGTGCGCATTCACTATCCTGTAAATTCTTAAAGCATATAATGTCAATTTCAACACTTCTTAAGGTTGACGAGGAACCCAGAAAAAAACACTATCCATCATAAAACCTTGTATATATACAGAGAGAGAAAAAGAAATTGTAGTAATTTATTAGTTGAATTCATGATTCGATTAAAGTTAGGCCACTACTGAAAACCTGGAAGCAACGGACAACTGTTCCGTTTTAATATGAGACTCCACAGTAGTGCATATCCATGATACCACATACGAGATTCGAACCCAGGACCTTTAATCTTGCGATCAAACTCTTAACCTCTTAACCTCTAACAATGTTAATGTCTAATTTAAAATAAGCTTATTATACAAATGTAAAAAAATTAAATAAATACTGACTTACTCTTGCATAAACATACTGACCAACTCTACACGAGAATGGTATTAATACTTTAGCTTTTTTAAAATCAGCATATGAATTAACTCCACAACAGAAAAACTATTTTTAAAAAAAGAACAACAACAATGAAACATTATCTAACATTGAATTAACTCTTTGATGAAGTTTTTCTCTCTGAGCTGGATGGTTTATGTTGTGAAGCTTTCATCGTTCTTCTTCTGAACGACATCATCAGCACAAATTTCTATCTGAAGTAGAAGAACAACGAAAGCTCCACGACATAAACCATCCAGTTCAGAGAACAAAACTTTATCAAAATCATCCATCTGAGCTATAAATCTTTTCCACCATTGAATTAACTTACTTTTCTATGTAATTCATCAAATTCATCTGCATATTCATCATTCTTATAATAATATTTAATAGTAGTATCTAACGCTTGTTTAGCATTTATAAAAAACTATAATAAATATTTAATTATAATTCTATTACAACTAACTTGATGATCAGTTATCAATGTTACAATAGCTATACATAGATTGATGATTGTTGCTATGGTCAAACAAATTACATGCTAAAATATAAAAATTTGATTGTATCCAAGTGAAAATTAAAAAAAAAAACTTACTAAAAGATATAAAATATTCATTTGTTTCCATAATCCAATAAATCCTAAACATGCTGTTATTAAACCAAGACTTCCAGTAAATATTCCTGTTGGATAAATAGCCGGTATTGTATATTGTAATATTAATTTATATTTAAATAGATTATCCTCGGCTTTTATACTTAATACAAATAATATAAAACTTGTTACCTAGAAGAGAACAGAATAGAATACAAAAGAATAGAATAGAAGTTAGTATAAGATTTTAAAAAGAAAAAGGGAAACATCATGGATAACTAAGAAGTACTGAATGACTGTTTCATTGTGGATGTGTAGTACTAAAAAGTTCTATACTAGGATGTAATGGTTGTTCAGTACTTCTAGGTTTTCATTGGTGGTCTAACTTTAATTGAATTATGTGAATTCAACTATTAAAATGACTAAAATCTCCATAAAACTGCCCCCACCTTTCTGATAATAATTAAAGGGTTCAATGGTTGAGATCATGAATTAACTGTAGCTAGACCATCATGGAAAACATGGAAAAACATGAACAACCGTTTCATCCTATTGTGAGACTCCACAACTATGCATATCCATGATACCGCCTCAAGAGATTCGAACTCAAGACCTATCAGTCTCGTACATGAACACTTAACCATTAGACCACAACTATCTAATACTTCCAGATTTTCCATAATGATCTAGCTTCAATCGATTCATGATCTCAACTATTAAAATCATTATAATATTCATAAAAATTAAATATTTACTTACGGCAACAAAACAATTCAATATAATGAATACAAGGAACCAAAATTTTTGTGTCAACTGAAATTTCATCATGATTTATGATTGAATGATAATGAGATGAATGAACCTTGTTTTGTTCTTTATTATTATTTTTTTCTAAGCTGTTATGATTGTTATGTAACAATAGACATGTAACTATATAATGATGAAATCATTATAAGGAGAATAGTACACTTAAATTATATGAACAAATCTATAAAGGACTATTTACAAATTACAAATGATGATTGATAATATTCAGACTACACATACCAAAAATGTATGTTCTTGATTTCCTAATATATGTGTGAGTATGTGTGCGTGTGTTTGTGTGCATGTGTTTGTGTGTGTGTGTGTGTGAGAGAGAGAGAGATAGAGAGTAAATGTATCGTAATATGTCAATTAATTATAAATTTAGTAGTGAATTAAGGCAAAAATAAAAACGAAGAAGAAGAAGAAACAGAAAAAACGTTTACCTCTTTTGTTGTTCACATGGTACTTTCAGTAGGTATGTTACAATAAACCGCACACAAAAAAAACAACAAACAATCAAATTGGTTTGCGTAGTTTTGTGTATTCGGTTAAAGTGATTTTTATTATGAGTTAAAATCAATAATAATTAGCTTAGTAACAGAAGGATTTAAGAAGTATTATTGAATGGTTCAATTTAAAAAAAAACAACATGTTTACTTCATGTATATTTTCAGAGTATTCTATAATGTCATATATTTACTTTCATTTCACAATTATGTAATTACTCAGTCAGTATTCAGTCAGTAACAACGTAGAACTTCGTACGTACGTACATCAGTTCGAGTTGCCACACCACATTAGCACAGACATGCAGTTGTCGACTCAAATCCCGTAGTGGTAGAGGTAGTAAAAGTATAAGCAGTAATTGGAAACATTAGGGTTTGAACATGTTATTCAACGAGTATAATACAGTGAAAGAAATTTGGAAAGAGGAAAAAAGGCACATGAAGAATTCAGAAGATTAGAATTTGGGAGAACACAATGAATGGATGCACCTAAGCTATTGCAAACGATTTTGAGCCATGTCATTAAGGGTCTCTAACCATTGGTTGCTATCATCTCGTGGTCCCCAACCAGGTAGTCTACACCTACCAACATGACTCAGTCCACTTGTCAGTGACTTCATGGACTTGTGCCATGTTTTGGTTTGGCCGCCCCTAGCTTTCTTCCAACCTACGCCTATACCACTGAACATAGCACATCGAGGCAGTCGGTGGTTGGGCATACGTAACACGTGTTCCAGCCATCTCAACTGATGAATTTTCACTACTTCATCACTTAATTTGCCATCCATACCTAGTACCCGTTTCCTAACAACTGTGTTACTTACTCGATGGTCCCAGGATATACGAGCAATGTTTCGAAGACACCTATGATCGAATACTAGTAACTTACGAATATCCTCTACTCTTACAGGCCATGTTTCACTGCCATAAAGTAGGACGGGACGAACTGCTGCGCAGTAAACAGGTCCTTTGGTTGATAGACGGATATCTCGCCTACGCCACAAATGACGCAAGTTGGCGAAAGCTAGTCGAGCCTTCTGTATCCGTGCTGAGATTTCGTCACACACCAGACCACAAGGGCTGATGTAATTACTATTAAAGAACTATTGGATAAAAGGGATTAGTAAACATTTTGTAGTGGTTTTGCTTCAATAATCGATCACCTTAATAGCTGTTATAAAATAAATTTAAACGGTGATTAAAGTCAAAAGGTGAAAAGGATAGCACAGGTCAAAAAGCTATAAGCTCATAGGCAAATTTATAGCCAAATTGCATAAGGGTTCAACAATGCAAAGCAAGGACTAATAATAGGATTTAAGTACAGACATACATACATGGGGAGGAGGATGAATCATTGAGTGATAGTTATGCAATCAATATTTTAGCTAGAGTCTGTTATGTGATCTAGTAATCACCAATGAAGATGATCTATATTGAATGATTGGAGGCCTACTCGAGTTCAACGGAAATAGTGTAACGAACCAGCTAACGTCGAAGTCACACCTCGTCGTCACCACCTTACGTAGACTACCCCATTGACGTATTAAGGTATTATAGATATTTTGAAGTCTACAACACAAAGGACGTTATTACAGAAATATATTAGTTAAAGTAGACACAAACCCATGGCGTATGATTAGCTGATGCACGTTGGTTATCCTTGACCTTTACAGTGATCGATGATCTGTTCGATGTTCAGTGACCTAACATCCAGATGATTTGGCTAGGGCTCAGTGACATTTCACTGGCCTTGCAATGGCACAAAGAAATATGCGAATTTTTACTATTCAAATAACATTGCCTGTTAAGTAAGTTAATAAAAGGGTCTAACCAAAATTAACCGTAGTCGAAAGTGGTTGTAGGATAGTTGCCATAATCTAATTCATATTTATACTAGTTAACTTACAAATAATCTAATACTTTCTCATCTAATTTTAAATCGACTATCGTAAAATCACACAATGAACATGAAACATTTGATTTATTGATACGAAATTCAACAATAAATATATCTGAATTCACGAGTCGATATAAGTTAGACCACCACTGAAAACCTGTAAGGATTGCACGGTCGTTTCATTCTACTATGTGACTCATCAGCAATACGCATCCACAACCCCCCACGCAGCGCTCAAAGCCAGGGCCTTTATTCTCACTTTTGAACGCTGAACCTCTAGACCATTGAACCGGCATCCAAAGATGTTACTGTCTAACTTCAATCGATTCATGATCTTGCGCAAACATTCATCCATTGTCTGAGATGGATACCTTATTATTATTATTTTAACACATAGATATTGGTACAAGGAGGCACCAAATACATACGCGCCACACATCCCATTTGATTTGTGTGAAGGCTGTGATACTGCCCGGGTGCCCAAACCGAAGCAGGTGGTTTTCTTAGGGGGCCACACCCCAAGCCTTCGACCTGAAGCTCTGATCCACAAGGCAGTGGAGCAACGTAAGGAGATGCATTCCCATGGTAGCCAGTGACCAACGATTGGTTCATATGCCATTTGTTCCTTCAGGATACTGGAGCCCATATGCACCATTGGTTTAGAATCCGGTTAAAGCGCCGGACATTCGCTTTTCGTCCTCTCATTTTCGTAAACAACAGTAGTGCCACGAGAAGGCAGTGAGTAGGACTTCTCTGGCAGAGGCTATATACACGTGGCCATGTGAGAGCATTTCGAGAGGGAGAGCGGACTCTCCCCACCCTTAACCGTACCAGGGCATTTGGGGGCAGATACCTGTCTCTACCTGGCACGGATTATACTACATTTGTTAGACATTAACACTGTTGGATGGAGGATCAACGTGGTCTACAGTTTAGGCGTTCGCGATCCTGGATTCGAGCTTCGAATACAAGATCGTACTTGCGCACTGTTAAGGAGTCTCATACTACGACGAAACTGCCGTCCAGTACTTCCAGGTTTTAAATAGTGGCCTAGCTTAAACCAACTCATGAATTCAACTAATAAAATCACTAAAATCTCCACAAAACCCCATTTTAATCATAAATATATTCACTATCATCCCATATATTACATTTAGATAATAGTACATAGTCTATCACCACTGTGCCCAAATAACACCACCTGCAAATCTCTCCTTTTCGGCCATAAATATTGTTATGACTTTTGCTCCTATGAGTTATCATGTGACATAACCTTGTCTTTGTGCTAAAGCAATGACATGTCAACCAGCAATAACAGCATTGCGTCAACTCTGATATAGTAACATACCTAACAGCCCTGCTCATTCAGTCCATAACACAATCTCAGTCTTCACCTTATGAATCGTATATTTCAGACATAGATTGTTTATATACAAGCAGACCAGACCATATTACACCATAAAATAAAAAGTAATAATCACACAAGATCAAGCCTGGAGTGGCTGTCAGTATGGGAGACTGTAACCAATAGATTAGGAAAAAATTAAGAATTATAAATCGGATAACAATAGCTAATAGATCACAGGAAAGGTTATGATAGAAAGAATATAGAAATAGATAATGTAGTTACTTTATAATTTTCCGATGATGATGTATGTGACTACTTACTTGCTCCTATTAACCCTTTTCTGGAGGAGTATAAACCGCTCACCAGCACTCTCCATCCAACCCTGTTCTGGGCAATACTTTCCAGCTCCTTCCAGTTGTTATTCATCCTTTTCATATCTGATTCCATTTCCCGACGTAATGTGTTCTTCAGCCTTCCTCTTTTCCGTTTCCCTTCAGCATTACAAGTTAGGGCGTGCTCCGTGATGCACTTTTATGATTTCCACAATGTATGTCCTATCCGTTTCCATCGTCTTTTCCCAATTTCATCTTCTACTGGAAATTGGTTTGTTCTTTACCACAGCAGGTTGTTACTGATGATGTCCGGTCAACGGACGTTGAGTATGCTGTGTGGACAACTATTTATAAATACTTGTACCTTCCTGATGGTGGTTGCAGTAGTTCTGCATGTTTCAACTCCATACAGTAGAACTGACTGTCTTGACGTTCTTATTGAAAATTCTCACTTTGATATTGGTTGAAAAGTTGTTTTGAGTTGCATATGTTCTTCAATTGTAGGAATGCGACCCTTGCTTTGCCGATCCTTTCATTTACGTCTGCATCTGAACCTCCTTGTTCATCGATGATTTTTTGCAGGTATGTGAAGGATTCCACATCTTCCAGAGTATCGACATCAAGAGTGACTGGATTGCTGTTCACCGTGTTGTGTTAGAGGATATTGTTTTTCCATTTGTTCTTCGTTCGGATGTAACAAATACTCTACATCATCTGAAGGTCACGCTCAACTTCTAATTAATATTTGAACTTATTCAAATCTAGGATGCAAAGTACCATAAATGCCAATTGGTTGGGATTATATATTTAATGTTATTTAACACAGTTGTGAATAGTTTCAATCGGTCTAATGAAACCTGAATGATAATCATAAACAATAAAGTGTTTTATAGTTTTTGTCATGAATGACTCGAGTTTCTAACAGGCAGTTCCGGTACATATATATTTTACCAATGAAGTACAATTGAATGTTTTAAGTCAAATTAGTTCCGAGTCACTATGAGTACCTACTGACGAAATTACAATGTAGATTTCGATTTATTTAAATGCAAATTTTTAAATTTTGTCTTGTATAATACCTCAAACAAAATGAACTTCTCATGAGACATCAGTATCTTATAATTGGCTTCATAATCAAGATTTCTTGACATAGACGAAAGTTTATGCTTAACTTTTCACCATACGAACATTTACAATCAGATATCAGTAATAAAATCATTGGTTCAAATTCTTT